TTTTTTTTTTTTTTTTAAGCATTCTCGCGCGACATTTTCAATGCTGCGTCATACGGCTGAAAAAGCATCTGTTATATTTACATATAAAAATATTTTCATAGAAATGGAAATTTCAGGAAATCTCAACGAGAGGAAATTTTACTGTGACAAATTTTTTTTCCTTTTTTTTTTTTATCACTCGTTGATCAATTTCATTTTTCTCTCAACGAATAATTAAAAAAAAAAAAAAGAAAGAAATTAAAAATAATGTTTAATTTTTTTCTTCAATCAAAAAGAATTGACGAAATCTCTATTTTTTCTAGAAAACGAATAAAAAAATTAAAAAAAAAAATAATTTAGGAATAAATTTTTAAGAAAAAATAAATTTCTAAAAATTTGAGAAAAATTATTTTTTTTGCAATTGTAAAAAAAAGAAAAAAACAATTTTATAGGGAACACAAATTTTTTTTTTTTTCATCAAAAAGAAAAATCATATAATGGGAAAAATAATTTTATCGTCAAAGGGAAGAAATTTTTTTTTGTTCGTGAAAAAAATAGAAGGAATAAAGTGAATTTTCCTCAAAGAGTGTGTTATTTCTTTTTTTTTTTAATATCAAGAATAAAAGAATTTATTTTTTTTTTTGCTTGGGAAATTAAATCCTTATTTATTTTTTTTTGTTATTTAATCTTCATATTAGATGACATTTTTTTTTTTATGATGTTGAGATAAAGAAAAATATTTTCCCCGGTTTAGTTTCCGGATTAGATTAACTATCAGTTTTCTACTTTGGCTTTGGCTAATGGAATCGGGGATCGATGCACAGGATGCAATATATTCCTTATTACCTCGTTCGTGAAAATTCTCTCTTCCCTTCTATGTAATCTCTCAACGACACTATTCCGTAAAATTTCCTCTCTCTCTCTCTCTCTCGCTCTCGATATTTTCCCCCAAAGGGAAACTGAAATTTCCATTACAATGATATAATAATAATAATAAAAAAATAATAATGTTTAATAATAATAAAAATAAAAATAATAAAAATAATAATAATAAAAATAATAATAATAATAATAATAATAATAATTATTATTATTATTATTATTATTATTGTAAAATAATAAAATAATAATCATAATACATTTGATAGATAATAAGCCTCGTCGTCATTCTGATGAAAATACCGAATTATATTATATACTATTATATATCCATATATGTATATATATACATAAAATCTATACTTATATTTAATACATGTGTATATATAATTTTTTTTTATATAATTATATAATCCGATCGAGCTATGCTTTGCATTTCTAGATTATAACAATACAATAATCTGTTTTTTTTATTTTCGTTATATAATGTTTTATCATTACCTGTATATGTTAGGTGATATGTACCAAATGGAAGAATCGTGTCACAACGCCCTTGTTCTTCACGAGGTTTTTTTTTTATTTTTATTTTCCTTATGTACGAAAAGAAAAATTTCTTTAAGTCAAAAAACTTATTTTTATAAAAATTGAATTGAGAAATTTATTTTTTCGAATCAAAAATAAATTTTTAAAATGTTTATGTTTTACTTATCGACATGTCGGTAATGTAGATTGTCGATTTACCAACGTAGACTTTAAATATGCATTACGATTCGATGGATGAGTATCCATCAGTAGATAATGTAGATTTCTACAATGGTATATTACCATTGGTTGTAAAAGCGCGATCTACTTTACCGACTAATGGTAAAGTAAACCAGAACTATAAAATAGAAATTACAATTTTTTTTCCTTTCTATTTTCGAAATTGTTAATTATTAATATCCAAATCTTTAATTCAAAAACTAAATTAAAAATTTTTTTTCTCAACAATATTTCTTAATTAAAAAAAAATTTTTGTGTCTCTATCATACATAATTTAATACAAATCAAGAGGGTAAAAAGAAAGAAAAAAAAATTATAAGATAATTTAAAGGAATTAATGATGGTGGAAAAAAAGAGATAATAAATGAGAGAAAAAAAAAGATTCAATTCAATTTCATTTGCATTGAAAAAAAAAAATTTTTTTTTTTTTCTCAAAATGAAAAACTTTCCTCGCAATTAACAAACGCGTGTCCTAATTAATTTTCTCAGTGCACAGCGTCCTGACGCCACGCCTTAGAAATTAGGCTTCGCTTAATATAATAATTATATTCTATAGAACTTTTAGTGTGCTATAACGTCGTCGATCATCGACCTAAATTCACGGAGCAAATTACACACTGAATGCTTTTATATCACTTAATTTTCAAAATCGCTCTAAATGCCTAAATATAGATCATATACGTATTACAATTTTTTTTTTTTTCATTTTCTTATAATTCACTCAAAATCGAATGTTAATTATTTACATTTTCTTAACATGATTTATATTTATATATATATATACTCTTTATATTTTTATATTTATAATATTCATTTATTTATTTATAATATATTTATGTTCATTTTATGCTAATATACATCACTTATTGGTTCTCTAGCATTTTTTTTGTGTATCCAATTCACGCATTGCGAAGTATCAAATTTTTTACATTAGCGAATTTTTTTTTTTTATTTTTTGAAATACATTTAATAATGCCTTTTAGTTAAATTTGGATTTAAATCGGTAAAGAAAGAATTTTTTACTTAACCGACTGTCAGCAATGTAGTTAGAAAACTCGGTTATATATCAGTCGGTATAAAAGGTCTCTATATTATCAGCAGTTGGTACATAAAAAATTTACATTACCGACAGTTGGTATATAAGAAATATATAATACCCACTGTCGGTACATGTAAAACCGACATTGTCAATTGTCGGTATGCAAGAAATTTACATTATCGACTATTGGTATATGAAAAATTTACTTTACTCACTGTTGATAAAGTAAAAACCTACATTACCAACTGTTGATATATGAGCAATTTACAATACTCATTGTCGGTATGTTAGAAATCTGTATTACCAACTGTTGGTAAATGAGAAATTTACAATACACATGGTTGGTACATGTAAAACTTGCATTGCCAACAATCGGTATGATAGAAACCTACATTATCAACTGTTGATATATGAGAAATTTAAAATACCCACTGTAGGTAAGGTAGAAATCTACAATACCAACGGTAGGTAAATGAGGAATTTACAATACCCACCGTTGGTATGTTAGAAATCTGCATTACCAACGGTCGGTATGTTAGAAACCTACATTAGCATCTGTTGATATATGCAAACTTTACAATACCCACTGTAGGTATATTAGAAACCTACGTTACCAACTGCTGATATATAAGAATTTACAATATCCACCGTCGGTATGCTAGAAATTTGCATTACCAACTGTTGGTATATGAGATATTTACTTTACTCACTGTTGGTAAAGTAAAAACCTACATTACCAACTGTTGATATGTGAGCAATTTACAATATCCATCGTCGGTATGTTAGAAATCTGCATTACCAACTGTTGGTAAATGAGAAATTTACAATACACATGGTTGGTACATGTAAAATCTGCATTGCCAACGGTCGGTATGTTAGAAACCTACATTATCAACTTTTGATATATGAGAAATTTAAAATACCCACTGTAGGTAAGGTAGAAATCTACATTACCAACGGTTGGTAAATGAGGAATTTACAATATCTACCGTCGGTATGCTAGAAATTTGCATTACCGACTGTTGGTATATGACGAACCTGCATTACTAACTATAGGTAAAGAAGAGAATTTACACACAATGAGTATTGTAGATTTCGTCATTTAGCACTGAAAAATAATCGAAGCTACTGTCGATAAAACAGATATTATTCTGTTACCGACTGATGGTATATAACAAAGATCAAAATTATGTCACTTTTTTTCTTTATTAAAATATAATAATAAAATTTTCGTATCATTAAAATATTAAAAGATGATTTTAAAAAAAAATTTTAATCGTTTTTTATGTTTTTAAAAAAAAAAATTTGTCATTAATAATTTTTTTTCTCTCTTTTTTCGCAGTAAATAGAAAAGAATATATATTTAAAATTTGCAACTCTCGCAATGCGCAGAAAAGTAAACCCTGCATTATATTATCTATTTTTTATGACAATTGACCTCATTCCTAATTCGTAATGATTATACCTCGTGTTTAATCAATTTAATTTAAAAGTATATAGAAAATTGCATAATTTTTATTTTTTTTTTATGGATAATTCGTGTTGTGTATCTCTGGTTTTTTTTTCACTTTGGATATTAAAAGTGCAATAATGAATAATATTGAAAAAGCACATCTATAGGAAATCTAAAAATCACAGAGAAAGAGAGAGAGAGAGAAAGATAAAAAGTGAGAGAGAGACACACGTGATGGTGCATTGTGAGAAAACACAATTTTTTTTTCATTTCAAGCACAATAACATTTAAAAAAGAAAACTCTTTTAAATGAAAAAAAAATTCTCCAATCTAACTTAAAAATAAATTTTTTAATATATTTCTATAAATATATATATATATATTGAAAACATACCGATTTGAGAAAAATAAATTCCCTATAGGATTAAATGACTATTTTCGCTTGGATAGTTAATCCTTTATTGAAAATTTTTCTCAAAGGTATATATTTATATATATATATATATATATATATTTATATAAAGGCAATGAAAATAATATATATATATATATTTGGTGAGTGCTTCCATTGAGTTCTGAAGCACTTTTGGTATTTTCTATAGAAAAAGAGCAAACATTGTTGGTTGTTTTTTTTTTTTTTGCAAAATTTCAAGTAAAAGCCTAGCACTATTTTGATCTTTTTTTTTATTATTTTTTTGTTTGTTTATTAGTTGGTTCCAGCTCAAAAACCAGGGATTCAAAAAATTCCCATGTCATTCTTTTTAGAAACTCTTTTTTATATTATATATTTATAGTTTTTCGAAACGTTGGACATTTCGTGAGAGAATCAATTTGATTGAATTCATATATATATATATATGAAGATATATATATAGTACGATACACATATAGCACGTCGCATTCTTAGAGTCGGTATTTTTTTTGTCTCGACTTTTTTTTTCAATTCTTTCGCACATTTTGTTTTTCTTTTTTCTATTTTGTATTCATTCCTTTTTTTTTTGTTCTCTGTGTACAGTTTTGCAAATTGAAAATATTTTTGTGTGTGTTTTTTTTTTTTTTTTTTTTTGCTTTTCAAGGCAAAACTGTTCCTTGAATGTGGAGTTTATATTGTAAAAAAAAGCACCTGGACGTTCATCTTGAAGCGGAAGTCCGTGCCTGCGGGTTGATTTTACCGCTTGATTCGGTCTTTTTCTTCTTTTCTTTTTTTTACTACTGGAAGAAGGGTCATCATTTCAATTTTTTTTTTCCTCTTTTTTTTTTTGTTTATTTTACATAATCGAAGTAATTGCCATTAGGATGGGAAGCAAAAAGATGTGAGCAGATTTAAGACATGAAATTAGCCGATTTGCACCTGCCGAGACACTCGATGCTATCACCCTGTTGCATGCTTCTGGTTCTGGATCTGAAAAAAAAATTGTCAATTTTTTCATATTAGATTGATGGATAAAAAAGATAATTATAGTTTGTGCAGTTAGTGTAGTTATAGGGAGTTAGAGTTTTGATACAGTTATCGATAATCGATAATGTAGATTACTGTTTTACCGACCGTTGATAATATATTTTACTGAAATACCGACTGTCGATAATGATTTACCTATAGTCATAGATGTAGATCGCTTTTTTTACCTACAGTTGGTAATGTAGCTAACTAATTTACCGACCGTTGTATACGCAAATCTATATATACCGATCTATATTTACCAATTGCCGATAACATATCTCACTGAAATACCGACACACGGTAAAATATTTAACTGATTTACCGACCATTATATGCGCATATCTTTGTTACGACCGTTGATAATGTAGATCGCTTATTTACCGACCGTGGATAATGTAACTTACTGATTTACCAATAGCCACGAGTGTAGATTGCTTTTTACTGACAGTCGGAAATGATTTAACTGTTTTATCGTAAATTTTTTGCTGACTTGTTAATGTAGATCACTGTTTTACCGACCGTCGATAATGGAGCTCACTGATTTACCGACGTCTGGTAAAATGGTTTCAAATTTGATTAAAATATAAGAACTTTTTTTAAAATAGTTTGTTATGGTAGTTAGTAGGTACAGTTACTATCAGTAGATGACCGGTTTAACGACAGTCGATAAAGAAGATTACTAATTTATCAGGAGTCGTAACGTAGCGCACTGTTTTATAATAGTCAGGAAAATTATTTAATTTATGAAATTAATTACAGCCTATTATCATTACTAGTAGTTAAAGTTACTGTCTGTCGCAAATGTCGTATATCGTTTTTACCGACGGTCGATAATCAAGTCAGCTGAATTACCGACAGTCGGTAATGCAGATTTCCGTTTTTTTATTAGCGATCGGTAATATAAATTACTGTTTTACCGGCAGTCGGTAATACATATTTCAGTATTGAAAATTTATCGGCAAAATTGCTATCTATATTATCGACTATTGTTAATGACTTTGAAGTTTTTTTTATCCATGTAGTGTATAATTAATGGAAATGATGAAATTTTACCCCAAAAAAAAAATGACACTAAAATAGAAAATTAAAAAACGATTATTGATTTTGTACGCGGATAAAAAAGATATAAGTGAATTATTAAAATATAAAGAGGTCAGTGATATAGATTTTAAAAACATGTATGATGAATAGTGATTGGATTATAGAAAAATGGTAGTTTAAGCTAAAGTTTTATCATTGATTTCTGAACTTTGAATTATTTAACAAGTCTCAACCTGTCACATAGTTCGAGGAATGTCTGGAAATCTAGATATATGTATATATATACACACAATATGAAAATAAGAGATAATATACATATGTATATACATACAGAGAGACGCGGCTATAAAAGACCAATGATATTTAAAAGGGTCACAAGAATATAAATTTATTTTAAGTTATATATATATATATACACATTTTTTTCCATTATATAATTAAGTCATTGACATACTTTTGAATATGTTGATTTTTCAATTTTTTTAAAAAATTGTTTCTCATTTTTTTTGTGCAATCAGCTTAAATTGGTTTTATAAATTATTCAATACGTTAAAACGACTTTAAAAAAAAAGAAATTTACTGAGGTAACTTTTAAAGTCGTCGTCGTGTCTTTAAAATCAATTTATCGACCTAAAAATGGAAATATATTTCTAGGTTAAAATTAATTCTTATTGCTTTTTTTATATACTATAATAATTGTCAGTTATACTTTTGAAATTCTTAAATTATGAAATAATATATATATATAGAAAAGATTTTATTATTTCAATATGAGATATTTTTTTTTGAATGATTTTAGTAAAAATTAAATTTTAGAAATTTTTTTGCTTAAAATTTTTTTTTTTTTTTTTTTTTTGAAGAAGTATTGTTTATGTTGGTGAAAATTTTGTGTGAGCTCTAGGAAAATGGTTTTGATGAGGGGTGGGAAAAGAGGGAGAGGGAAAAAAAAATGTAAAGGAAAGCCCGTAAAATGGTGGAAAAACAGTGAAAAGGATGTCGAGATGCGCACGTACCAGGTACTCCTTTTAGTCGAGGAAGAAATTCGTTCCAAAAAGCACAGGCGGTCATGCGAGGACCTTTTCCCATGTCGCTCTTTTCGGCATCTAAAATAAAATACCGAGGATCATTTCTCGTATATGGCGGCCATTCAACTTCGCTTTCAACTGGCTTCCTGCAAAAAAAAAGAAAGAAAGAAAAAAATCAATTCCAATAAAGTCAATTTTTTGCTTACCCAAAAAAAAAAAATTCAATTTTTCTATTTATTATTTAGGGGGGTTAAAAGTAATTTTTTACCTTCAAAAAAAATTTTTTATAATGGAAAATTTGTTCATATTAAAATTTTTTTTTTAATTTAATATAAAATATTTTTGAAAATTTATGTCAAGAATTTTTTTTTTCCTGCTATATAAAACTTTTTGTGAAAGTGAATTTCAAATATACAAACATTGGAAAATAATAATTCAAAATTTTGTGGATCCAATATAAATATAAAAAAAAAAAATTTCCAGTGTCATGCTCAGTGACCTAAAACTTTTTTTGAAGTTGACCAACTTTTCCGTGAGAAAAATCAATGTCGTTTAAACATTTCATGACACCATATGGTTTTTATGTTCTTTTCTGATTCATTCTTTTCATATATATATGATATTGGCTTCGAGTAAAAATTTATCTGTTTTGGAAAAAAAAAAATTTTTGCTTTCATTTTTTTTTCGATTTTATAATCATTGGAATTTTTTTTTTCCTATTTTGATATAATTTTTCCCGAATATCGAAATATGGTGAGAGGGAAATCTTAACACATACATATATATATATATATACACACACACACACACCCTGGGTCAAACGGAAGGAGGCCATGTCTTCGGAGCGATTAATTTTGAAAGCGAGAACTTGCCTCATCTACCACGATCTCGATTATCTACTGCTGCTATATTCCAGTACATTGAAGTTGCGGAAGATGAGAGTCTAATTGCGCTTACGAGCAATTAACCTTTAGAAAAGAATGCCGATTTTCACGAAATTATAAAATATCAACGAAAATAATTTTCCTACTAATAATTAATTTTTTATCAAATAAATTTCTGTTTTTTTGGAGGGCGAAAATAAAAAAGTTAAACGAAAATCGAATAGAAAAAAAATTATTATTATAATTTAGAGAAAGTAATGTAGTTAACTAATTTACCATCAAGTATAGATATTTTTACCGACTGATGATAATGTAGATCGCTGTTTTACCGACCGTCGATAATGTACCTAACTGATTTACCGACAGCTGGTAATGTATTTAACTGACTTACCGACCGTTATATATGTAGATCTTTATACCAACCGTTGACAATGTAGATCACTGTTTTACCGGTCATCGATAATGTACCTAACTGATTTACCGACCGTCGCCTATGTAGATTTTTACCGACTGTTGATAATGTAGATCGCTATTTTACCGACCGTCGATAATGTAGCTCGCTGATTTACCGACGTCCGGTAAAATGGTTTCTAATCTAATTAAAATAGAATAGGAAAAAATTATTATTATAATTTAGAGAAAGTAATGTAGTTAATTAATTTAATATCAAATATAAATATTTTTACCGACTGATGATAATGTAGATCGCTGTTTTACCAACCGTCGATAATGTACCTAACTGATTTACCGACAGCTGGTAATGTATTTAACTGACTTACCGACCGTTATATGTGTAGATCTTTATACCAACCGTTGACAATGTAGGTCACTGTTTTACCGGTCATCTATAATGTACCTAACTGATTTACCGACCTATGTAGATTTTTACCGACTGTTGATAATGTAGATCGCTATTTTACCGACCGTCGATAATGTAGCTCGCTGATTTACCGACGTCCGGTAAAATGGTTTCTAATCTAATTAAAATATTTGAATTTTTGGGGAAAAAATTGTTAAACGAAATTTAAATTAATAGAAAAAAAATAATTCTTATAGTTTAGAGGAAGGAAACAAATGTAAAAGAAATTTATCGGCTAAAAGTTTATCTTTGTCGTATATATATATATATATGTATGATGTGATTTAATTTTCAAACACGGAGAGAGAAAACACCCTTTATGTACTTTGCGTGCGCTATAAAATTTCAAAATTGCATTTATGACCATTTTTAAGCCATTAAAGAATCCGAATTTATTAAGGGGAGACACGAAATGTCGAAATGAATTTGAGGGTTACAAATTACCTCCCTGAAAAAAAGAAAAAATGAAACGATACGATAAAAAAAACAAACAAATGTTTCTATATCACGTAATTCAAAATTTCCTTCCTTAATAATGGATTTCTCAAGTTACTACATTTTTTTTTCTAATTTATAAATTGATGTCAAAAATATTCGAAATTTTTACAAAAGATAGCAGTTAAAATATTAAAAGAATATTAATTTTTTTTATTGCATTATTTTTTCAAGTTAAAAATCTGAAAAATAACATGCTGATAATGATCAGCGAAAGAATGATAATGTCACGCACATTATATAATTCGTAGGAGAAAAATAAATTTATTTCTAATGTGCGTGACATGAGGCAAATAAAGCAAAAAAAAATTATCAAACGCTAAAAAAAAGGAACTTGACCCCTACAGGGAAATTTCTGGAATTGTAACAGAGAGAATGGCCTTTATGAGAATCTCGAGATGAAACACGAAAGAAGTAGTTCTGATGAAAAATTCTCGTCACACCAATGTGTACATTCCCTGAAAAGTGCATTTTTCATTCTGCATTTCATTTTTCACAACAAAACAAAAAAAAAAAAGTGGAAAAAAGGAAAGATAAAGTGGTTCTGCATACAAAACTGTCCGAAACTACTTTACTTTCAAACGACCTTTGGTTAATGAGATTTTTCTTTATTCTCTTTTCTGCAACGTTATCTTTCTTTACAAAAAAAAAAATAGTTTTTTTGGCTTTAATTTTTTTTTTATTTTAATTATTCTGAAATAGTAAATAAATAATGAAAAAAATAACATTTTAGTAAAATTTTGCATAAGGAAAAAATTATTTTCCTGTTTCTACAGTGCTACTTCTTTTTTTACCGACTTTCGATAATAGAGCTCACTGATTTACCTACAGCTACTAATGTAGATCGCTTTTTTACCGACAGTTGGTTAAGTAGCTAATTGATTTACCGACCGTTATATATGTAAATCCATTTTACCAACTGTTGATAATGTAGGTCCCTCTTTTACCGGCCGTCGATAATGTAGCTCACTGATTTACCATCAGCCACGGATGTAGATTGATTTTTTTACCGATAGTCGATAATTCAGTTAACTAACTTACCGATAGTCACATATGTAGATTTTTACCAACTGTTGATAATGTAGATAACTGTTTTACCGACCGTCGATAATATCGTTTACTGTCTTACTAATAGCCACGGATGTTGATCGCTTTTTTACCGATAGTTAGTAATGTAGCTACATGATTACCGACGGTCGATACTCAAGTAACCTGCATTGCCGACAGTCGGTAATGCAGATCACTGTTTTATCAGCGATTGGTAATTAAATTCATTAATAATTTTTTAAAAATATTTATTCTTTTTTATTTTATGGCTATTTATTAACTCTAAAATTTAACAGATAAAAAAATAATTGTAAATCATCATTGTGAATATATTTTTTTCTATATTGGAAAAAAAAATTTATAGCTATTTCTTTGAAAATTTAGAAAAACAAATATTGAATAATGTGAGAATTATTGACAATTTATTTTATAGAGACATATACACATACACATGCACAATTTGATTTTAATTTTATTGCGATTTACGGGGACAAACTCTATAAAATAAATCAATGGTTATAAACGTGTCATACATATATTTTGCTTTTCAAGTGATTCGTGTATAGTACACACACACACACATACACATATTATTTTACATCAGGGACCATTGCATAAAATATCCCCGGCTTTTGTATATAGGGAAAAGAATATTTTTTAATCGATTCTCTTTTATATTCACTCGGCATCTAAATTAGAAAATGATACTCGTTCCCGTTAAAATTTTACCTTTATTCATCTTGTTTCTCTCTCTCTCACACACACACACTTTCTCCCACCCCCTCTTTTTTTTGTTTTATTAAGTAAAATTTATGTCCCTTAAATTTTCTCCACTAAAATTTAGTGTCTTTCGTGTAACTATATATAAAAATTTCTTCATATAAAGTATTATATATATATATGTTTTTTATTTAAATTTCTTTGACATTTCTTTGGTTATAAATTTTGGAAATTTTTTTGAATTTTTAAATATGTAGAAAATAAAATGAAATTTTGGTTATTTTTTCTTTTTACAATTTTATTTATGTTCTTTATTTTTTTTTATTGCAAATAATTGTAAATCGACCTAAAAAGTGTAGGTTAAAAATGACAGTTTATTAGCTGTCATTTTTAACCTACACTTTAATATAGATCGCTGTTTTACCGACCGTCAATAATAAATTTTACTGATTTACCAACAACCGCTAATGTAGATCGCTTTTTACCGACTGTCGATAATTCAGTTAACTGATTAACTAGTAGTCGGTAAAAAGCGATCTACATTATCAACAGTCAGTAAAAAATATCTAAAAAAAATGACGGTCGGTAAATTAGTTTGCTACATTTCCGACTATCGTTAAGTCAGTGAACTAAATTATCGACAGTCGAGAATGTAGTAAACTAATTTACCGACCGTCATTTATGTAGATTCTCTACTGACTGTTAATAATGTAGATCGCTTCTTACCGACTGTCGAAACATTTACCTACCATTATTTATGTAGATCTTTTTACCGACTGTTGATAATGTAGATCGTTGTTTTACCGACCGTCGATAATATAGCTCACTGATTTATCGACTTTCCAAAAAATGGTTTCTAATCTTACATGAATATAGTAAATTTAATTACAGTTTTCTGTGTTGGTTAGTAGTTACAGTAACCATCAGTCGGTAATGCAGATGACCGGTTTAACAACAGTCGATAAAGAAGATTACTGACTTATCAATGACCAATAATAGAGATTTTCCCTTTTAAAGGCGATTGGTAATGCAGATTTTTTTTAAATTTCTTTTTGGTTATATATTTTAAAAATTCTTTTGAATTTTTCGAATATTTGAAAAGTTAAAAAAAAATTAATCATTAAGTTTAATTTTTCTTTTACATTTTTTAAATTTTATTTAAGTTATTAATTTTTGTTTATGTTTCTTATTTTTGTTACTTTTTTTTATTTATGTTATTTTCAAGTTTTATTTGTTATTTTTTTTAATAAAAAAGAAAACTATTTTTTTTCTCGATTCGTAACGACGATTTCGACGAGAATTATTATAATAATAATTGCAAATTGATGAAAGAAAATATAGGTTAAAAATGATTTTCTTTTGAGAGAAAAAAAAAGTTGTTTGTCTGATATACAGTCGAAAGTTGATAAAATGCCTTTGACACTGGCACACGAAAAAGCAATTTTTCATTTTAACGACTCTCAATCGAAATCTCGCTCTTACTATATATATATACTATATAATCGATCGAGATTTAGAGTCATTAAGATTTATCACATTTCTGGTCCATTTCACTTCTTGAGAATCACGGATTCCTTTTTAAAAAAATAAAAATCTTCCATCATCAAATAATACAAAATTCGCACAAATTCTTCAATTTGTCTTTTCGAAAATATTTAATATAGGAAGTATATTAAAATGAAATAAAAAAAAATAAAATCAATTCAATTTATTGGAATTCGTTTCTCTATTCGCGATTTTTTTTTTTTTTTTTTTTTTTTGAAAGCAAATTTCAATATTTTTTTAATCTTCAAAAATCCGTTTATTGTAAAAGGCAATTAGAAGATTATCCGCAACGTTGAAAAGAGATATTTTTCATCTTTCAATTTAATAAAAAAATAAAAAAATTATCGAATCCAGTAGAGTGGAATAATAAAATAATTGTTAATAAATTTTATTGAGATAATTAAGCGCTCCATATATATATATATATATTTTTTTTTCTCAATAATCTCTGCAAATGTTAAATTTTGCAATTACTTTAAAATTGACTTATAAATAGAAGCTAAAAACTGAACTACGAATCGACAAAGTGCTTTTGCGAGAGAAAATTAAATTTAATGTCAGCACCAATATTGATATGTTCTACTTGAAATATAACTCACAAACATAAAGAAAAGGTGCCCTTTTAATAAAACAAATTGTCCACTCAGTAAATTTGAAGCAGTAAAAAAAAAATAAAGTATTATTTAAATATATATATATATTTTTTTATATTTAAAAATACACAGCATTCGAATATGACAAAAAAAATGTCAATTAAGTACGAGATAGACAAAAATAAACTCTTGAAAAATTAATAAAGAAATTTAACGAGTTATTAAATGAAAAAACTTATCAGACATGTTAATTATTAATGAATTAAAAATAGAAAAAGAAAATGAATGGAATAATTTTTTGTTAAAAGATTTATTTTTTAGAAATAATATAATAATAATAATAATAATAATAATAAAATACAATTTTTTTATTTGAAAAAATAATTATTATACAAGCAATAATATTAAAAAAAATTTATTAAAATAATAAAAATAATAATATAAAAACTACTAAAAAAAAATTATAAAAAAATTATAATAAAAATAATAAAAATAACAAAAAAAATGAATAACAAAATTAAAACAAAGGTTGTTTTATATTAATGATGAATAACATAATTAAAAAAAAGGTTTGTTTTATATTAATGATGAATAACAAAATTAAAAAAAGATTGTTTTATGTTAATGATGAATAACATAATTAAAAAAAAAGTTTGTTTTATATTAATGATGAATAACAAAATTAAAAAACGGTTGTTTTATATTAATGATGAATACCATAATTTAAAAAAGGTTTGTTTTATATTAATGATGAATAACAAAATTAAAAAAAGATTGTTTTATATTAATGATGAATAACATAATTAAAAAAAAGGTTTGTTTTATATTAATGATAAATAACAAAATTAAAAAAAGGTTGTCTTATATTAATGATGAATAACATAATTAAAAAAAGTTGTAAATTCAGATGATCATTACATGAACATTTTGCTTCCTCTTTACGATCAGCAAAAAAATTTGCTTCCTCCTGGAGAAAGTAAAATTTTATTGCCAAAATGTGATTTTGATTTTTTAACTTTCATTAATTCTTTAAATTTAGCTCAAATGTATGTTTTATATATATTGATCGATTCGTTTTGACGTAAGGAATACAATTATTTCATATATAAACTTCAATTTAAATAATCACAAAATTTTATAGCCAAAATGTGAATTTTTGATTTTTTAACTTTCATTAATTCTTTAAATTTAAATTAAAACTATACTTTATATATATCGATCGATTCGTCTTGACGTAAGGAATACGATTTTATTATATATAACCTTAAATTTTTCTATTTAAAAATTTTTTCGATTAAAAAATAAATTTTTGGATAAAAGACGATAAATTTTTTTTTTGGGTATTTTTTAAAATCCTTTGGTCAGATTTGAGATATTAATATGATAAATGAGCCTACCAAATTTTATCTAAATCCTTTAAAACCTGTTAAAGTTATTTTCTAACAAAAAAGGGATCCACACACACATACATACATCCGGACAATTGATCAGGATCTCATATAACATGTTTCTACAAAGAAAAAAATTTGTTTCCTCCACTTTGAAAAGTTTTATAAACGAAAGGACTACAAAGCTTCCTCCACGAGGAAGCAAAATTAATAATATAAAAAAATAATAAAAAAAATTATATTAATGAAAATAATAATATTGAAAATAAAAAAAATTAATTATTTTAGTTGTTATCTGAAGTAACAGATTAAAAATTCAGTTTTGAAAATAAATGTATGCAAAGTAGAGTAATTTTTCCATGAGAAAGAGAAAAATAATTTTTTCTTAAGAATAAAAAAAAAATTTACATCTGAAAATGAGAATTTTTTTTTATATATATTTAATAAATTTTTTTAACTTACCCATGTGTAGCGAAATTGGAATAAATTGATAAAAATTTCTGTGCAAGTTCACGCTCTTTGTCGGTGTATTTAAGAGACGTGTTGAGTGGAAGACCAAAGACATATTCGATTTCATCTCCATGCATTACTCCCATCCAATCACCCCATAAATTTGTACTACTTGTCTGTAAAAATACAAAAAAAACAAATTTTCCATTAAAAATTTTCATTTCAAATTAAATTTTTCTAATTTTTTAAAAATAATATAATTTTTCATTTAAATTAAATTAAAAAAAAAATTATTTTTTTCGAAAACGAAATAATCAAAATTTTTTTGAATAATAAATAATTTATTTTATTTTAATTTTTAATTAATTATTTTAATTAATTATTTTAATTAATTATTTTAATTAATTATTTTAATTAATTATTTTAATTAATTATTTTAATTAATTATTTTAGTTAATTATTTCAATTAATTATTTCAATTAATTATTTTAATTAATTAATTAAAAAAAGAATAATTTACTATGCGAAAAAGTAGGGAAAAAAATTAAAACATTGTTTGATCTTTAGAAAAGTAAAGTAAAGAAAAGAAAAAGTGTAAGAAGATGAAAAAAATGAAAAGGAATAATAATAATTTTTTTTTTTTTTTTTGAAGTGTTAAAGAATATAGTGACGGAATGTATAAACAAAGAGGAACTTAACCAATTTTAATGAGCACACTTTTATCCCAAACAAGAGAAAACTGCTAGTTTATAATTACGTGACTTGACCTGGCGACCTAAATTTTTTTCTCTTTTATTTTTATTTCATTTTTTTTTTTTTGTTCATTCTCTATTACTGAACATTCTTCTAATTTTTCTTATACCGAACGATATAATAGAGTTCACCTCTCGCTGATATTGATGTTGAAAAATTGAGAAAATGCCGCTTGCCAATGCCACACAATGTTAAGCGTAATTTAACAAAAAAAATTCTTTCAATATTTTACACAAAGGAATTTTTGTTCGAAAATCTACAAACTTGAATATTTTATTACAATATGTAAATTTTTTTTTGTTAATTTTTCTAAAAATATTTTCTCTATTTATTATTTTGGATAATATATAGATCGCTTTTTTACCGACCGTCGATAATAAAGCTTACTGATTTACTAGCAATCTTGGACATTTGCCGCTTTTACCGACTAGATTATCGACAGTTGGTAAAACAGCGATCTACATTACCAACAGTCGGTAAAAAAAATTACATAAATAACGGACGGTAAAGTAGTTTCGACTATCGGTAAGTCAGTGAACTGCATTAACTATAGTCGGTAAAAAAATCTTTTTACCGACTGTTGATAATATAGATATACCTGTTTTACCTATCGTCGATATTTTGTGGTTATGAGTAGTTAAAGTTGCCGTCTGTCGAAAATGTAGGGCACAGTTTTTACCGACGATTGATAATCAAGCTACCTGAGTTGCCGACAGTCGGTAATGTAGATCACTGTTTTGTTGGCGATCGGTAACATAAATTAATGTTTTACAGACAGTCGGTAATGCAGATTTTTTTTCTTTTTGATTATAAATTTTGAAAATTTATTTTTGAAAAATGAGAAAATTGATTTAAAAATAGAAGAAAAGTAAAAAAAACCGATATAAAATATTAGAAAAATTCTTGTACTTAAATTTAATTTAAAAAATAATGGAATACAATTTTTTATTTTTCCTTTTAGAAATTTTTATTTATGTCAAATAAATAATAATTTATTAACTGCAAAATGTAAATTAATTAATAATTAATAATAATAATAATAATAAATAGTATAATAATAATAATAAATATTTATATAATAAATCGTCGTGGAAAAGGTAATGATGTAATTAATTATATTTGACACAATCGTTGACCCATTTTATGAAAATCTTATGATCTTTCTATTTTGCAAAATGAATGATAGAGTTTCTTAAAAGTCGTTTCTATTTTTTTTTTCCTTTTTTTTTGTTGTTAATTTCATTGTCTTAAAGTTGACTTTCTTTATTCAAAGCTTTTTAACCAACTTCTCTTATCTTATTGTGGTCTTGGTATAGAATTTTGCGTTGTTTTTTTTTTTTTTTTTTTTTTTTTTTGCCGAAAGGAGACAGAAAACAGGTCTTTTTATCTTACAATGAGCCTCGTAGGTCGGAACGAGAATGCAAATGAAAGACTAATAACTCTCCTGTGCTTGAATAAAGGCATAATATACATTTGAAAAGTTCTCTATTCTCCCCTTTTCTAATTCTCATTTTATTTTAACATCTATATATATATATATGCTGTCCGCCACAGTAAAAATAAGTTTTTAATGCAACAATTTGCTTCAAATTTGATAAAATGTAGGGAAAAAATTTTTTTTTTGTTTGAATAATTTTATTAACTGTTTTTTTTTTTTTTAATTTAAAAATTTTATTTGATGACAAGAGAAAGAATAAATTGCATACACATTTAAATAGGGGAATAAATTAAAAAATATATATTAACTAAAAGTTAAATCATAAAAATAAAATAAAAGAAAATTAATATAAAATAGTCAAAATAGTTAATATAAAATAATAAATTAATAATAAATTTTAATTTAATAATAAAAAGATGATATAAAATAATAAAATAGATAATAAAAATAATAAAAGTTAATAAACAATTAGATTTTAGTTTATTTTATTTCGAATAATATTGAAAAAAAAAATTTATTTCCTTTATTATAGAGGTATTTTTAGTTCACTTGTATCTGTATGTTTTATGTATAGTATTTTGTTAAAAATTTAAATACACATTTAAAAACGTGAATTTCTTTACTAAAAACCATTCCGCTAGAATTTTCACAGAATGTATATATATATATATATATATATATAGACAGACTTTTGCAGTGAGGAGTCACTTTAAATAAAAAATTATCATTCAAGAAATATAAGAAACACGAGAAGCAAATCTACCCTTGATCCTCAGCGTCAAAAGAATAAAGTGAATCTTTCTTTTTAAAAAATAAAAAAAAGAACAAACTGTAATTCACCATATTTATTTTATGTACATTGAAATTTTTTTTTCAAAAATTAACTTTCTTTTTTTCCATATTGCAATAATTATAAAAAAAAATTAATTTTACCCATTTGTAAAATTCATTGTCAATATTTTAATTATTCATTATTATTCTAATATTATTTATTATTATTTTAAAAATTATTATTATTATTATTAATATTATTTTTATTATTATTATTATTATTATTATTATTATTATTATTTATTTATTTTGTACATTACTCTGTATTTTTTTTTCGTTACCTTAATAAATCTAGATTATTATTATTATTATTATATACTAAAGTATTTTAGGAAAATTAGTATTTTTATTAGAAAAGAAAATAATTAACAAAAAAAAAATAAATAAATTCAATAGTAAAAATGTTTTTTTTTATATTGCTTTTATAACGTTTTCTTATTATTAAGTATTTAAAATAAGCGCGCTTTTTTCGACCAATAAGAGAGTTGTCGTAGCGCAAGCGCAATTTCGATAGTGAAGGTTACGCTGCGCGACGACGCTCGTTTTTGATTGGTTCGCGCAGTGTACTTTCTCCGCCCACATTTCTACCGCACACAGTAAAAACGTTACTTAAACTTTCTATAGCCAGCCACAAAATTTTTTTTTTTTTCAAAACAAATTTAAAAGCTAAAAAGTATTAAATACCTAGTAACTAATTTAGTTAATGAATTATTTTCTCTATTTTTATTTAAAGAAAAAAAAATAACTAAGAAATTAAAAAGTTAATTAACCCCTGAGAAATTATATAAAGATCCTAATAACCTGATAGGGAATATTGTTAATCATGTACCCGCTTCATTTCTCAGAACTGATTGTAGCTTTCATGTTGAAAATCTTGAGGGAAATTCATGCGCGCTAGAATATAATTGTATATATATATATATATATGTATATGTATATATACATCTTCGGCCCAGTTTCCCCTTTTCTCTGGAGCTAAACTGTTATTCATTTCGCGTAATATAGCACAGGGATAACCAACCTCGTCTTGCTGGGAATCTAAGATAAACGATTTCCAGCATCGTAAAACGCATGAAAGATTTCTAAGTTTACTAACGCTGGTAAATAAGCAGAAATGAGATGCGTTAACCTGAATCCAAAACTTTTCTAAAACAGAATTCTAAAAGCGCAAGATGCAAGAATTTTTGATTTATTATTCATAATCTCTCGCTAAATTACAGCATTGTTATATAAGATAAATAAAAACGCTTCAATTATTTTCTCGGCGAATTTTTTTTTTTTTTTTTTATATTACCACAGTAGTTAAATAGCAGAAGGGAAATTTTTGCTACCTCTATTATTATAAATGAAATTTCGGTTTATTTCTTCTTTTCATGATGATGGTAATTAATATTAATTAATTATAATATTATTATTATTATTATTAATATTATTTTTTTAGGGTTTCGTGTCTCAGGTGCTGAAAGCCTTATAGTTTCGCTTTAGCGTCCGTCCGTCGTATAGTTGCTATGATAACAGTTACCATAGCAATCGTTACCTTAGCAGACCCCAAAGCCTTAATTATAAATTATTAATTATATACAAATAACTTTTGATCTGAATTTAAAAAGCCACGATATAGTAATAAACTATATTTATGTTTCTTTTTTTAAGGATCGATTAAAGGCCGATAACTATTTAAAATTTTTTTTAAAAATAACTTATAATAATAAAACTATACAAAAGTATTTAAAAAAATACCTGAAAATTGTTTTTTAAAAAACCGAATTGATAATCTAAATGTGAAAATTGTTTTTAACGAGTTGGGTAACTACAAAGTAAAATTTTCGTGCTTTTCAAATTTACATGCGCTCACATTATAATTGTAGAATACAATGACCTTGCGGGTAGAAACAATATTGCCGGAGTCAAGTGGTTGGGTAATTTTGTTTATCCTCGTGTGTGTGTATATATGTATGTATGTACAAGGTGTTCTAGTTTATCTTGCGAAGGAAACGGGGTTGAATTGGAACGGAGAATAGCCTGACAAAGCGGACGAGACAACGGTGCTCTTGGTGTGCCACTAATTTGCGAGAAACGTCTCAACTCTCTTCCAAGTTAACTCTAATCTACAACCCCGTTTCCCATAAAGAATCATGTGCGACAAAAATCAAA